GACCTTAGTCTTGACAAGTGCCTTTACCTGCTGAGCCATCTCACCAAGCCAGAAGTTGTTTATTTTTAACTCCAACGTGTTAAATAACTGTGGAAAGTGGCTCTAAGCTCCTGACCATCCCATGTCATGTAACAGATCAATATTTTTGGGAGGGGTCCTCCTCAAGTCACCCTGCAGGTGGTCTGACATGTTAACGGACGTGAACTCCCCATCCTCGGGAATAAGAGAGAGTTCTAAATCCTGGGGTAAAGAATAAGTCTCCTAGATCCTGAAGGAGCCCTTTGTGCCATTGCAGACAGCTCGTGGATTTTCCAGTGTGTGCCATCAGCTCATTGAAATTCCCTAGGACCTAGGAATCCCCCAGGACCACCAAGAGCCATGATCTACTGCCCTCAAAGGAGGGAGAGTCCGAGAGGAGCTGGGGAGGGTAGCAGAGTCTGTGGCTGGTGCCCATGAAAGGTGAGACAGGAAGAGCCAATTTAGAAAGGAGAGGGGATTTCCTACCATTCAGCCTCAGCTTTGCGTCACAGGGAGTCTATTCTGCTCTACCCGGAAAAGCTGCAGCCGGATTGAACATCCTGGTTTGCACGGGGGGTTAGGGTCTGTCCTTGGAGGCAGGTTTGGGCTTATCTGACCTTTGTTCCAAAGTCCAGTCGCATCCTGACCCTGCATGCATGCATCCTGATGACAGTTTCCAGATGTAAACTTTTCCAAACATGTGGTCATTCTAAGAAGCTAAGCACACCTCTTCCATAACCACAGAACTTAACAAAATTGGCTTTGAGTTTGTCCTCATTCTCTACCAAAGATGGCCAGTGACCCAGATTCACACCAGCCTCAACTCTAGAAAGGAGAGGACAGGGTGTCAGGTAGACAAATCCATGTCCCATTTATCCTGTCCTGTAAGGAAGTTGAATTAAAGTTAATAGTTAGCTGATGTGTTGTTTGGTTTCCCTCTGTCTGACTCAATAAGCCAGACCTTGCTCTGAGCAACAACTTAGTCCTAAGGAGACTTTTCTTATTAAAAGATAACCATCTCCTCCCGTAAGCGCCCGTGCAGGGAAGTGCAGTAGCCAGACATGGTGTTATTCCAACAGCAATGCACACAAGCACCTCTGGGGACTGTGTGAAATGCAGATTCAGGGTTCCAGAGCCACACCTGGGATGATGTACTTCTAGTGAAATCAGCATGAAGTTGGAATGACCCCACACGGAGACACAGGGCAGAACTTGGTCAGCCAGGAGCCAGGCAGACAGCCTGGACGCTGGGCCTTCCTGAGCCCAGCGGTGGCTCCTCCCCACTGGTGTTCTGCGCTTCTCCGTGCCATCACCACGGGGACGGAGTGGGGCTTCTGGTGGGTCACCTCTGGGAGCTGCTATGTGGAGTGATGGCTTTCACTGTCTGTCCTGCTTCCTGGGAGACCCACTCCTGTGCACAGACTGGGGCAGAGGTGTGTGCACACACGATCTTGTAGGTCCTTGGAGAACTGTCCACAGGTCTGTAAGACATTCTCTGTGATTATGGATGGGAGCTGGGGGACGGAGGCGATTTTCAAGAAGTTGAAGAAATTTGAAGAGCTCTGTGGGATTGAGAGCTTTGAGGTTGAGGCATGTGGAGGAGACACCTTCTCTCGGGACAGTTTTATTTTTAGCCTCTTTACACAAGGAGAGGAAGATACTGAGCTGGACTTTTCAACAGAGGATGGAAGTGGCTGCTGCCGCTGATTAACACAAAGGGAAACCCTCATCACCTGTGTGTGCAGCTGCTCCGAATGCCACAGCACACTTCCCCACCAGGGAGGACATCCTGGGGAAAGCCCCAGCCTGCCGATCCAAACACACCTCCCAGGAGCATGGTGAGGCCATGCACAAATGCCCAGTTACCCCAAGAGGCAGAGTTCTAGCCCCAGACATCAGGGGCCAAACCACATTCTCCCAAGACGCCCCCTCCCTTTGTCTGGAGAGAAGCAGCCTGGGTGCTGTAGAATATTCCAGCCCATCACACCACTCAGGAGAAGCTGTTCAACGCTGGCAAGATCGGCCAGAGCCAAAGAGGTAGAAAATAAGTGCTGGTGAGGGTGAAGGGACATTGGAACATTTCTGGAAGAGCTGTAAAATGGTACAGCCACTGAGGGAAAAAGTCTGGCCAGAAACTTAAATGTGGAGTTGCCATGGGATCCATTGAGTTCTAAGGGTAGACACTCAAAACTGACAGGAGGTACTCAGGCAGATGCTTGGCACACATGCTGAAAGCAGGACTATTCAAACAACGGGCTGGTTCATCACACAGAGATGCTTGCAGTGCAACCAGAGACCTGAATTGAATGCCCAGGACCCATGTAAAGGGAGAAGTTAAGAACTGACTCCGCTAAGCTCCTTCTGGCCTCCAGATATGTGCTGTAGCATACACACACAGGCACTCTTACACACACACACACACACACACACACACACACACACACACACACACCCTTAAGTATGTAGCAAAGGATACAGACACTCAGACACTCAGTTACACCCATTAGCAGATGGAAGGACAGACTGGGGTATATCCATACGGTGGATTAATAGTCTGCCATGAATATGAAGTGTTGGTTCATGCCTCAGTAGAGATGAGCCTCCGAAAGCACTAAGCTGAGTGAAAGAAGCCACACTCAAAAGGTCGCACTCCATGTGGTTTCTTTTCTGTTGATTTACGGAGGAGGGAAGCCTCAGAGATAAGGCTACTGGGTGGTTGCCAGAGACTGGGGAGAAGAATGGGGGGTGGGCTGCTTGACAGGTCTGGATTTCTCTCTGAGACCATGTAAGTGTTTTGGACCTAGATAACATGAGGGTTTCGCAAACCTGTGAGTGTGGGAAGCCCATTGGCTTATGCAATGAAAAGAGCTGTCATCATGCTCTAGAGCAGACAAGACTAGGGTTTACCCCTGCAAACAGTACAGGTCAGAGGTCTGCTGACATTGGAGGGAAAATGGCTTCCCAGGGTAGTCTGTGTCTTTCCCGTCAATGGGGTCTGAACGTGAGGGATGAGGGTGGTCTCACGAGCACCTGCCCCACGAGCGGTGCTGTGACAGCTAGGGACCCGTGCTTTCCTCAGCTCTAGAATGACCACGCCCACCAACAGACTTGCTGCCTGGGAACTGTGAAGGTCCCCTGTGAGGAGTGTGCCATCCTCTGGGCGGCCACTATACACACTGGCAAGGGGCCCCCGGAAAGCTAGATCCCAGCAGCACCACAAATCAGCGTGGCCAGAAATGACCCAAAAAAGTCAGAGCCAAAACATGTTCTTCTCCTAAACACACAAACGGCAATCAACACCCAGAGATTCGGAGACAGGGTGAGCTTACTGGCCCTGTGGCCAGCCCACAGTGCCAACTGTCCTCATGGGAATCCACGCAGTGGGGCCAGGCCCGAGTTTGTGGGTGGACTTCCCCCTTGCTCACGATGCTCAACTTACCCCGCCCTGCCCTGGCTGGACATTTGCAGTGGCATGGCTGGATGGTGCTGGAATATGAAGGGTAGGGAAGAGGAGCCCCATATCTACCATTTGGGCCTTTCCAGCCTCCCCTTCAGTTGAGGAGGTGGAAGGCTTGGGGTGGGTCTCTGAATCTCTCTCACCTGTTTCTGTCTTCAGCGAATAGGGCTCTTCCACCCACAGACCTGGCTCCTGCTAGAGCCAGTAGGATAGGAACAGCTTCGAATAAGGTCTTCCTGTCCCAGGGTGGGCACCTTCATGACACCCTCTCTGTACCTCACAGCCCCCCACCCACGAGATTTGTCCTCTCACTTAAATACTATGAGACGCTGAGCCCCTCAACACTCAGTGAGGACATACACAATTAAGGCCATCCACTTGGGCAATGAAGGAAAAGATCAAAAACAAAAATATAAGCCTCCCTCTAGCCCCAGGGCAGCACAGGGCTTGAACATGTGGCAGCAGATAGGTCTTGATCCCTTCAGCAATAAAATAAAATAATAAAAAAATTTGTAAAATAAAATCTCCATCAGTATCCTTAATTTTACACTGTGAATGGGATCCAAGATAGAGGCGACTAGCAGGCAAGGTTTCTGAGAGGCAGTCTTTGAAACTCTGAAATTGGTGAGTGGAGGGGCAATTGAAGACTGAAAATCGACATTGTGGCTTCCTGAAAGAGAGGGGACATCACAAGAGCAGAGAACATTTAGATTCAGGTGAGGTGTGGACTTCACTGGGAACAGAGAGGGGATTTCCATTGTTCATGCCTTCCTCCTCCATGAGGGGAGCCGACCCACAGCACCTGTGAAGCTGAGCATAGAACTCACTGCCTGGAGACCAGGACAGCAGAGGCGGGGCTCCTGGTTCCTCAGTGGCAGCAGCCACCTCCACCCACCTACTGGGTCCCAAATCCACAGTACCATCCTCCCGGATCCCATATCTGAGAGTGGCCATATGGACTCCTCAGGGAATCCCAGCCAGTGAATGTACAGTCACAATCCCTCATGGCAAACAGATGGATAGCCACCATGTATTATTTCACTAATAAATGAGACCCTTTGCTATTTTTTATTATTGATTACTTCCTAAGCAAATGTCTTCGGAGTTCACCCACCCCTCTTGGAGCATGTGTCAGTACTGTCTGTGTAAGGATGGGTAACGTGCCATTGTGCGGCTGTACTGTGTTTAGTGCAGCTCCTGTGTGCGTTACATGGAAAACAAAACTCTCAGAGCGTTTCACCCTGAAGAGACTTTTCCTAGGCGAGCAAGCTGATCCTGCCATTGCAACTCAACGTTTGATCACTCACCGTCAACCTCACCTGTCTCAAACTCTCATTCCTCTTTAAGCTGTCTGATGTCTTTCCACAGCCAGCGAGCCCTCTATGGTGGCCCTGGTAGGAAACGGTCAGCTACGTAGCGTTCCTGAAGATGGGAGATTTGAACAATGGGAAGTGCCACTTGGAAAATGTGACCGAGAATGGTGCTTGTTTTCTACAGTCACCCTGAAAATGTATTGTTCCCACAGGGTCAGCCAGGGCCAGTGGGCACCCAGGGATACAATGGGCCCCCGGGGCTGCAAGGATTCCCTGGACTACAGGGCCGCAAAGGAGACAAGGGTGAACGGGGAGCTCCAGGGCCAACAGGACCAAAAGGAGATGTGGTAAGTAGTATGGGTTCTGGCTGGGGTCTTCTGCCATGGGTGGGCACTGGGGGTCCTGGCTGGGGTCCCTGCCATGGGTGGGCACTGGGAGTCCTGGCTGGTATGGCACTGGGGGTCCTGGCTGGGGTCCTCTGCCATGGGTGGGCACTGGGAGTCCTGGCTGGTGTGGCACTGGGGGTCCTGGCTGGGGTCCTCTGCTGTGGGTGGGCACTGGGCCTTTCTGCTTTTGTTAATTGTTCTGATTCTTCACAGGGAGCGAGAGGCGTCTCTGGATTCCCTGGTGCAGATGGAATTCCTGTAAGTGTTTGGGAAGATGAGAAGGTTAAACATTGCGTGCGTTCCGAGCAATGCATTTATAACTTAAAGAACCCTTTGAAATGAGACGGCTTCTCTCTGTTTATAGCATCAAACTGGGGTTGCAGGGTGTTCTCTGCACTCAGTTTTCTCCTCCTGGATTCCAGACAAACAATGGACAAAGTGTTTCCTTCCTGAAGGGTCTTACAGGCAGGGCTTCAGAACTGAGCCTACTTTGCTAAAACCAGACTTGTTAGCAGTCAGACAAATAGAGCATGATTCACAGATGGTCTGTAAAGAGTGGGTCTTGAGGACTCATTGCCACACGGAGCAATCTGAGTATAAAGTGGCCCAGCAAGTCCCAGGGTAGAGGAAGCCCACAGCGACTCTGCAGCTGCCAGATTCTTTGTCGTAGTTGCACATAACAGGGGCCAAAAGGAGAGTCACAGGCTTCTTGTCTGTCATCCCAGCACTTGGGAGAATAAGGCAGGATTGCCCTGAGTTCAATGCCAGCCTAAGCTATAGAATAGGTCACCTCCAACACACACAGAGAGAGGGGGCCGGTGGGAGGGGCATGGTTCCTTCATGAGAAAACTTCAAAATGCAATAAAAGTGTTTTTATAAGCTAGTTTACTTCTTTGACAAAAACAAAAGCAAAAAAAGCTGACTCACAGGACTCAGCCAGCAGATTCCCAGGGCAGGCTTCCTGGCCAGGGATGAGTGTGTCTATCCTGTCAGGCCTCCTTTGTCTGTTGCCATGCCTACAAACATGGACCCTATGGACTTCACCCATGTTCACAGATGTCTGTGAACAATTCTCTTCTATCTTTTCATGCACACACAGGGAGAGACAGGGTCCAGCTTCGCCAGGAGGGTTGGTTCCAGGAACAGGGAAGGGAAGGGAAGTCTGCCCTTTGCCTTCAGACCAGCATCCCCACAGTCTTGAAGGACGTGCAGCAGAGAGAGGGCAGCCATGCTTAGCAGAACATGAGCCCAGGTCCTCAGGTCACCCATAGAGAGGGCTCCAGGAGACTTGGGGCCACACCATCCTATAGTCAGGAAGAAGGCAGTAACTGCCTCGTGACTTGGGTCTTGGGAAATGGGCAGAGTGAAGAATTCACCAATTTTCAGAGATAAACACATCATAAAAGTGTTTTGCCAAAGATAGCCTAAATCTAAATTGCCCATTTTTAAACTACTTCTTGGAACTCTTTGGATTGCCCAGAAGTTCTGTCATGATGATTTGGTAATCCAAGTTAACTAAGATAAAGGGACATGATGGAATGGAGTGGAAACCGATGTGTCTCGTTTTTGTTCATTTTTCATCTGTGTGTTTACCTCACATTGTTCTGCCCAGTTCACGAACCCCAAAAGACCAGGAATAAACAGACTCCGCTGTAAATATATGAGGTTCTTCTTATTGTAAATTACAAGCTGCAGCTTGGGCCCACACACACTGGGAGCCGAGCACCCTGCGCCCAGGCTAGTGGGGTGATATATAGATTCTGGTCCATCCCAGCATGCCCAAGGCAGGGGTGATTCCTGCCTGGCAAGCATCTATTGGTCAAAATGTTACAATTTGAATCGATTGGCTATAGGAAGGTTCCCAGACCATTAATGACCAGGTGTCCCTCCCTAGGGGGATGGTCCAGTTTCCTAGCAACTGTATCTCTAGTGGGTAGGGAAAGAATGCAGTGAGGTGGCTCTTCCCCTCAGGGCATTACTAGACTTCTTTACGGTACCTACTTCAGGTCTTAATAACAGCTGCTAATTTATCTTTTGGTCTCTCAACATCAGAAGCCAATGATTACCAAGTTAGAGGAGAGGCCTCGCCATTTGCACAGTTTCAGTTCTGCCCACTGACGCCAGGGTCACTGCAGAGAGCACAGCACAGATAATGTGGCCTGAGCTTCAGAGCTCATCAGTTGTGAATCTTGCTCTCAAGGGGCTGCGTTATGTTACATGCTCAAAGCTGTCTAAGGCGGCGTCTGTGAGGAGCTTAGATCTGTGTGCCATAGAAAGGGGTCTGACTAGAGACTGAAAGACGAACATTCAGGCTAGTGTGGCTTGATGCTTTCTTCAAAGCCCAGCTTCATACTAAGATCATGTCGGCTTCCAGCAACTTTCCAGTGTCATGGGTCAGTTCTAGGAGGGAACAATAGTACGCAGTGGCCAAACGGCGAGATGTCACCCATGTGTTTCAGGGAAGTGCCGAAGGGTGGAGCCCATAGAGAGCCTATTCCTTGAGGCCTATCTGAAGGAATGGGTCCAGAGGCCTCTCTTGTCCTCACTTAGAAGCCAGCAGAGATCTCCAACAGGGAGTCCTGACTCACGAGCAGGCCAAAGCTACCTAAAGCAAAGAGATGCACTAAGAAAGAAAATTTGTTTCAGTATTTTTCAGTAGTGTTGTATGTGTGTGATTCCCTCCCCCCCTCCCCTTAAGGGTCTTAAGACTTTCTAAATTTCTCAAGTGAAAAAATAAAAAGCATCCAAATGGCCTCAGAAACCACTTTGGAATATATGTTTGATTCATTACCAAGATACATCCCTTAAAGATATTGCCCAATTACAAAACCTGTACTTAAATGGGGACTGTTTAATACCAAAACAGGCTGTGTCCTAATGAAGCATAGATTGTAGGTAATTGGCTCTGACCCATATGTCTGAAAGCTCGCTGCAGCCGGAGCCCTCTGCTCATTCCACGGGCACTCGGTCATGTGGCCTCCCTGGGTGACATCTCCGAATGCCTTAGGGTTTTGATACTCTTCCCTATAGCTGAAAGTTTTCCAGGCGTGGCAGTGCAGCCTGTAAGCTCGGCCTTTGGAGGACTGAGGCAGGAGGATCTCAAGTTGGCATCCAGCCTAGGCTACTTAGTGAGGCCCTGTCTCAGACAACGACAGGGCAATTAAAGCAAAGAGAGCTGACCCAGGCTCTGGAGTGTGTCAGCCATCTTTGAGATTTGGCCCCTCCAGCTTGCTGTTCACAGTTCAGTAAGGCTGGTAAAGCTATCTGACAGGTGTTTCAACTAGCTGGTGCAGGCTTTGAGGATCTCCTCTTCCGGTTGCCTGCTGAGAGGCCCCTGAAGCAAGGCAGGGGAAGCCAAGTTCCTTCAAGCCCAGGAGAAATGGTACCCGGTCCTTGCAGGTCATACCTGCTTAAGACACACCTACGTCTTGGCTTGTTTAATCTCTCATTCCTTCCTTCCTCCATTTTTTTGAGTTACCTTTTCCTTGGACTCGTGGTAGGGTGTGGCCTCTGAAAACATTTACCACTGTTTTGTGGATCAATTATGTGAAAACTTGACAGCTCACACATTGTCCTGCTTTCCAGGGGCACCCAGGGCAAGGTGGACCCCGAGGAAGACCCGGCTATGATGGTTGCAACGGGACCCGGGGAGACGCGGGTCCACAGGGGCCCACTGGATCTGGGGGCTTCCCTGGCCTCCCTGTGAGTATAAGCACGGTGACCTGCTCAGCCCGGAGTCTGGGCGGTGTGCACCTGCCAGTGTAACTGGGCCAAACACAGTGTGGCCTTCACTCCATTTCCCAGGTTCAGCCCAGCAGGGCCACCTGCCAAGCCTTGTCCTTGTCATCATGGTTGATGGAAGATCATTTCCCACCCCCCACCCCCTTTTTGAAGCTAACTGGCCCGGGTTCAAGCAAGTTCATTATCCCTATCCTCAATTAGATAGAGATAAGTGGCTTGGTGTATATTCTTGCTCACTGTCTTCTAAGAATCATGCCATCACCTCCCATATTCTAAGCCAAATAACAGCAAATGCTGTAATAATACAACTAAAACCAGGAAGCTTGCATCTTGTCCCACGTGTCGGTTGACACTGAGGAATTGTATTTCTGGGGACCTGGAAGCAGTTGGGTTCTCTGGAGCCTACAGAGAGGCAGATGCGCAATAGAAATACATTTCCAGTACAGGAGCCTTGCTGTAACTGTCCGTTTTGTGACCTTATTCTCGGGATCTTTGCAAAGAATCCTAAAATGCTCTTTCAGAACTATTGTTTGCAAACACAGGTTATGCTCGCATTTTTCGCTAAGCCCTTGCATTGTGAAAACACACTGAGGCGAGAGGAAGCCATGAGCAAGCAGCCTTCAGCCTGCAGATTGTTGGTGTCTCTGGCTAATGGCTCCTCCCTCCACCTTGCAGCGCCTGCTCAGCCTGGCTCTTTTTCGTGTGGTTCAATGTTTCAGTGAATTGTGTTACTTTTCTGTCTGGTTCAAAAATATGACCAAGAGACAGTTGCCAGTGCAAAATACTGATTAGATATGATCTTCAAAGGAGGCATGTCCCTTACAGTCAGCATAAATCAAGCCTCTCTCCTGTATTAAATGGCTCTGAGGGCCTCCCTTCTGATGCTGTTAGGACTCCAGTACCATTATGAAGAAAAGACGGCACGGTTCAATGCCAGGGGATGGGTACAGAGATTTGTTTGGGGTTCTGAAAAGTTTAAATCCTATAAGCTATTATATAAATCCTAAAAGTTTCCATTTTAGCTCTAAGAGTATGAAATAAAAAGCCTCATGCTTGTAGTTGGACCTTAAGGCAGTTGGCTTTGGAGGTGCCTACGTAATCCACAGGGACACTGGCATTGCAGACAGAAGCCGACAGCCGTCTGTGTCATCATGGCCATGCTGGAAGATAACGGGCTCTTCTGTGTCTTTTTTCCTATGGTATATCTGCTAATTTAGGGGCCCCAAGGACCCAAGGGGCAGAAAGGCGAACCTTACGCACTCTCTAAAGAAGACCGCGACAAATACAGGGTATGTTTGCCGTAGGTGGGAGACAGAACTCAGCGATCCCATGTAAACTATAAAGAAAGCCAGTTAGAAATTAACTCTGAGTGGAAGAAGGAATGCAGAGAGGGAATTCACAGATTCATGGGGTAACAAGGCTGTGATTAACTTGGGGCCGTCACACTTCTGTGTGGGGTGTATTAGGTCTCCCCATGTTCTCAATGCAACAGAACAAATAACTCAGTCTGGCAGGGCTTGTATGTTTCACGCCTCTTTCCAGCTCTGCCATAGAGGTAAATGCATCCAAAGATGCTTAGAACCAGTAACTCCAGGGGCTCAGGGGATGGCTCAGGAGAAGGCTTGCCCCACAAGGGTAAGGCCTGAATTTAAATCCCAAAGCCATGTAAAAAGCAAGGCATGGGATCTTATACTTAATCCCAGCGCTGAGGAGGTAGAGACAGCCAGATCCCTGCGGTTCAATAGCCATGAAGCCTAGCCTACCCAGGGAACTCCAGGCCAATGAGAGGTCGGATGTCTCTTGAGGAATAACATTTGATATCGACTTCTGGTCTCACGTGCATGTACATGTGCCTGCAGGAACTCATGCACGCATACGCATGCGCACGGGCACACACACAGGTAATTCCTGATTAACCCTTGTTTCCTCTCTACCAGGGTGAACCTGGAGAGCCGGGACTGGTTGGCTACCAGGTGGGTATCATTTTCACTAGAGAATGTTCCATGCAGAACTTTAAGAACGCCTGGAGTAGACATGCCAGCCTGCCTGTCTTCAAGTCATGTTTTCTTTGTCCGTGCACAGGGGCCTCCCGGCCGCCCAGGGCCTATAGGACAGATGGGCCCCATGGGAGCTCCTGGAAGACCGGTAAGTCCCACTGCCCGATGTCAGGTCACCTGTGGATGCCCTTTGTCACCTACTGAATGCCATTGAGCCACAGGCTGCTTCTGGCTAGGGCCCCTTCCATCATGGATCAGCCCTCCAGATTTCATATTAATTATGTGACAAGAGGATCATCATCCCCCAGTAAAGCCAACCAACCTGGTCAACAAGAAGCAAACTGATTTTCCCCCTGGGACAGGCCACGGCCACTGTAGAAAGGGAAGCATGGGGTGTCATTTGTAGACTGTCCCACTGAGTGGAAGCCACAGGTCGTCCCTCCCTTCAACCAATGAACAGAAAAGCATGATGGGATTGAAGCAGAATGAGGGAAGGCTTGAAAGAAAGGGGCAGGAGGTGCTAATGTTCCCGAGGCCCTGCCTGCTCCCGCCACCACACAGAGCCTGGAGCGCACCTTAGCCACCACGAGAAGGCTTCTGCCTCATTAGGAGCACGCCTTGGCAGTGAGACAAAGAGGCCCTGGGTGACACACAAGAGAGTTTGGTCCAGGTGAGCGGCCTGGGGCCCAGAAGCTCGTTCTCGGGACTCAGGCTGCTCCTGCATTCATGCAGTGTGCCCGCAGCCGGGGACATTTGTGCAGCATGCTCGAAGCCTGGGAGGGGCATGGGTTACCTCCTCCAGACGGTACTAATCAGTTGTAGTAACGATTCTCGTCTTTATAAAACCTTCATCCAATGGAGGTTTTCTCGCCATGACACTGTGGCAGATTCAGCCAAGATAGACAGACGGATGAACCGTGCTCTCCCTGCGAGTGGCTGGCTCGTTTACATAACGTGCGGCCTTGGGTTTTTCTCTACTAGAGTTCAGAGGGGCTAAGGAGGCAGCCCAGTCAGTGACATGCTGCTGTGTAAAAGCATGAAGACCTGAGCCTGGTCCCCAGCACCACGTCACATGCCTGTAACCGCAGGACTGGGGATCGGGAGACAGAAGCATTCCTGAAGCCCACTGACCAGCCAGCCTAGCTAAGTTAGTAAGCATAGGTTTAGTGTGAGACCCTGTCTCAAAAAAAATAAGGTAGAGCATGGCCGAGTGATTGAGGAAGGCCTTCACACACGTGCGCGCGCACGCGCGCGCGCGCACACACACACACACACACACACACACACACACACATACACACACACGCGGAAGAAAAGTATGCTGAGTAAATAAATATGTGTAGTTCAGAGAACCTTGCGATGTGCATATGCAGGTGCTTAGTCTGTGGAATTGACCTACAGATGCTCCGTCCGTGGCCTCTGTGAATGTGGCGGTGTCTTGTGGGGACTCTCACAGCGGGGAGGGCAGAGGAGTCTGGCTGCAGTCATGGGGCTGGGGACCTCACAAAGCTTACAGACAGGCACATCAAGGACTCCGGTGAAGTCACAGCCGTAAGCACACAAGCAAACCAGGAACAGCTGTGCAGATAGCAGCCCATTCCGAGGACAGTGACCCGACCTTCCTCCCTGCTCTTCATCCCACCAAGCCAGATGTGGGAAGCTCTCAGGCAGCTCGAAGCAGGCAGTGGATGGCTTTCCCAGGGACGCCAAGCAGATGTCATCTGGGTCCTGGGAGGGAAAATTAAAAAACAGCTTATACATGTCTTTGTATTTCTGCAGGGACCACCGGGGCCCCCTGGACCCAAAGGACAGCCAGTAAGTTGGTGGGGACAAGGGTGAGGGAGGGGCTTTCTGATGGTTATTTCCGAATTCTTTGACCAGAGAACAGATTAAGTGACAACTTTTTCTGATCAGGCTGACAATTGTTGTGTAGTTTAAGACTTGATGCTTAGGAACAGATCCTGTAGTGTGTCTGAACACCTGGCCCAAGCCAACCCGAGGGCTCGGGGTGCTGCCCTTCAACCCTGTGACACCTCTGTGGCTGTGTGCACACTGGTGAGCCGTGACGAAAACCGTGCATCGGGACGATTTGGGGACAGCTTCTAGTTATCTGCAGGTGCAATGTTCCAGGACTGGCAGGGCCACGCTGTTCATTTAAGGGAAATGGGAGCTCCTTGTCCTAGCTGGATATAGTGAGAGTCACCCAGAGCCTAACCTCAGCACTGGAGACAATTCCAGTGCTACTGAGTCAGGCTGGAGCCCAGAACCGGGCCGCTCCCATGACAGGGTACCTGTGATGTAGGTGGAAGCACAACCAAGCATGTAGTTTGTTAGAACCTTGGAGAACAGAACCAGGGTTTATCATAACCCAGGAAAGTTGGACAGATGTCCAGACCCCGTAGTGTTGGTGAGGAAGATGTCTGATCTGAGACACCAGGCTCCAGCAGGAAGCTTGGAAGGGTATATCCACATGCGGGGCCTCATGTTCCCACGCCTGCTCCACACGCAGTCCCATTCCTGTGACCCGCCGACCTTGGCTGCCACCCACCCCGAGGCCCCATAGGCTCCCATCCCCTGCAGCAAAGTTCCCAGCTGGAGCTGGAACTTGAGGAGGCTCCTGGATACCCCCACTCTCCCCACATTCACCCCCATCAGACAGCCCTGAGCAGGCTGGGTAGGGCCTAGAGCCAAGGACAGCGGAAGCCGGCAGAGCTGCAGGGCCAAAGAAGCAGTGGCCCAGCCCAGGCTCTGGCCTCAGATCTCCCCTGGCTGCTGCAAATACAAACAGCCCCCTCACCCTGGGCCGAGTCACTTCCTGGCCACTTTGACAAGCATCTCTGAGCAGAGAGTGCTGTAGGGCCGCCATGCTGTGCTTTGATTTCAGCTCCCAGCCAGGTGGTGGAGCAGCCAAAGCAGAATTTAATTAAAGGTTTTGCTTTTATTTTCAAAAGCTATCTAAGCATTGGAGGAGGCCAGCGGCACAGTGCGGAGGGAGACTGGAGGGGCCCTGTGTGACCCTCGCTCACTGTGGCACTAGAGAGACCCTGGGAAAAAGGCACGGCTGCTTGGGGACAAAAGGAAAGAGCACTGTGTGAAAATGTGTGTGAATTTGTGGGGTGGCTCTCAGGCAGGGCTGACTGCAGCCCAGCTGCTCCTCAGAGGGACTGTAAGATAAACACTGACCGAGACACAGGCCTGACTTTGCCTCAGGAAACAATCCAAACAGCCACATAAATATGAGATGTTAAGGCCCCTAAAATCATTAAAAAGGAGTAAATGTTTATATGAAGTTAGGGTGGTTTTTATCAAAAATGAGATGAGCTGTGATCTCCAGATACAGAGTCTGGGCCGTCGTCTGGGCTGTACCTTACGTCAGCAGGCCCAGAACCTGAGGAGCACCAGCCTCCCTCTGATGAGTGCTATAGGGCAGCTGACAGGATCCCTCTAGGCTCCACTGCTCATTCCTCAGGCCTTCCCGGCAGAGGACCAGGCAGAGCCTTAGGCTCCTAAAGTTCACCCAGACTGCAGCTTGGTCTCTTTTCTTCTAATTCACTGCGATTCCCGAGTCTTACAAACTCACATACATCATCTCTGTTTCTAGGGCAACCGCGGACTTGGTTTTTATGGACAGAAGGGTGAAAAGGTAAAGAGACCCGATGGCTGGGACTAATGACCAACATCACTCAGGGTGACCGGGTGCTCTCCAGGTGACCTGCAAACACACAGTGCGCATAAGGTCGTGATCAAACCCCAGGTCGCCTGCACTCCAGGGACAGCGGTGGCTCAGGGAGACATGAGTGTGAACTGCCTGGGCAGGCATAGATTCTGACAGGGACACGACACTTCCACACAGCTTCAGGACTGGAGCGGGGGTGTCCCCCGAGGAGCGCCTTCTAATGTGTAGGACCCGGACATGGTTAAAGGGGACTGGGGTGAAGACTGACCTGGAACCACTCCAGGGGGCAGATCACATGGCTGCCCTGGCTGAACTCAGTTGTGATCTAAGGTTGGTGACTTCTCTCACCTACTGCGACCCTGCCAAGGCCCCGGAGCCTGAGGAGAACCCGGCGCCCACCCCAGCAGCCATGCTCACACACACCGCACCCGTCCCTCTCGCTCTGCTGTCACTTTGTGGGCGCCCTGCTTTTTCACTGAATCCCGTAAATGGAAATCAGAATTCCCGAAACACTAAGGGGAAAGATCAAAACTTTTCGTGAAAATGTGAAGTCCTCAACAGTGAAATACCCCACAGGAGTTAGGTAAAATCAGAGGAGGGAGAGAGCACGAGTGGGAGGGGATGGTCAGTCGGGGACTGTGGAGGTGAAGGTGAGGTCGGCAACACACAAAAAGGCATTCCTCGGACAGCAGCCAGAGCCCTCACACGTACCGTAGCCTCGGACACTCTGAGTGTGTTAGCGAGTGCTCAGAACACACGGAGGCCCTCAGCAGCTGACGCAGCACGGGGTCAGCAGCCACTCCTGCTACACCGTGGCTGAACTCAAACTTAGTGTCACCTGTACTTGGAAATAGCAAAAAGAAAAAATCAATCGGGCTCTTTTGTGTTCGTCAGTTTCTGAAGGAGAGAGGGCATGACCGAGGCAATGCTGGCCATCGCTGCTCACGTAGAGCAGTGTCTGCTGCCGCTGACACTGCCCCCTCCAGATAGGTGGTCTAGCCTTTGCGCTTTAGCATACACAGCGCCATTGGCTGTGGTCACACCTGTCATCTCTCGCTTCAGACCTAGTTATTTCCTTGCATGGAAATCTATCAAATCTTCTGTAGCCACAAAACCTGGTGCAGTGTGGAGTCATGAGTGACCTCTGTGACCTCAGCGTGTAAACAGTCGCTGAAGGAGGTTCAGTTCACATCACTTTAGTTATCATTATTTTGGTGTGGTTGTTCTGCTGGCATCCAAAACATGCAGGCATCCAAAACAAAGCAGTGTGTGTGGCAAGAACGTGCAGGCACTCATTCAAACTGTCACTTTTGCCACCTGCAGGGTGACATAGGACAACCAGGACCCAATGGAATCCCATCTGAAATCACACATGTTGGGCCCACGACAACAACATACCACCCAGATATGTACAAGGTAAAGGAGTGGCCATTCCCAGTTGACCTAGGGGAAGGATTCTATGCATTGTAAAGCATTCTATGCAGCAGCTGCATCCCGAGAAGGGAAAGACCTCTCTGCCAACTTGGGGGAAAACCCAGATCTCATTTGCACCAGGAGGAACTGCATGCCTCCCTCCAGCCTGCAGGGGGCGGTAGTGAGCTGCAGCAACCTGAATGTTGGCACCAAAGATGGGCCAAGGACCTGCCAGTCCAAAAAATAAGTATAAAAGTTGAGTGAAGAAAGTCTACACCGCTTTTAAAGCTACTTTGGCTGGAGATGCTTTGTGTTCCAACTGCCTTTTCTTAAGCAGACTGAGTGCAGTCATTTGGGGGTCTTTTTTTTTTTTTTTGCATTTGAATTTTGAAGCTGCAGCATTTAGGAGTTATTGCTTACTGGGACTTATGTCAAGATTGCTTGAGATTTTATCACATACTTTTTAGCCTTGTATCCTAAGCCAGGAGTGGCGTTTAGGTACTGTCAGTCTCAAAGGTGTGACACATTTCTTGTTCCGCGTGTTCTTTACAGGGTGAAAAGGGAAGCAAAGGAGAGCAAGGGATAACAGTAAGTCCCTCCTGTGGCCGCTCCGTCCACGGGGCCCGGTTGGGAGGGTGGGGTGTGCTCTGTCTTAGCCTGGGGTTGTCTCTAGGCGGGAAGGTATCGTGGCTACACAGTGTGTTTTGTTGAGTAATAGGGATAATTAACACTGTTTTAGCACCGTCTGCAGCCGTAAGCTGAACATGTGTGAGTGGGGGTGGGGGTGACGGGCTGGCTCCGGGCCAGGGGGTTGCCTGTTTATCCATTTGAGTCCCTTTCCTGGTTCTCCCTTGCCGTCACTCACGCTGTGGTGGTGGCACATGGTGTCGTGGGTAAAGGTGATCAGCACGCAGCCCTGGGCCGGCTCTGCCCCCACACTCCCTGTCCCAGCCTCCTGTCACGGAGCGGCCTGAGGAGGCTGCAGAGGGGCCCACTGGTGGGCTCAGCTCCAGGCACCCCTCACGTTCTGGCGCCTCTCTCCTAGGGCATATCGTTGAAAGGCGAGGAAGGCATCATGGGATTCCCCGGGATACGGGTAAGCCACACTCTTTATAACTATGGTTGTCTGTCTAGTTGGCTTTGGCTTTTTAAACAGATTTTCTTTTTTTAGATCAGTCTTTAGGGTCACAGGAAAACTGAAAAGTAGAGCTTTCCCATAGCCCTCTGGCCCCACCCTGGGCACAGCCAGCTGGTTGGGCATATGCCACCAGGGACATCCCTCAGGTGCATTTGCTGCCGTGCTCGCCCCGTGCTGAAACTTTTAAGACACTGTAACTGCCCTGGAGGTTCTCCCTGGGATGAGGCCTGACTGGTCTTTGTAACAGACCACAAAGAGTAATCTACACTACAGCTTCATTTCTGGTCACCCAGAGAGTCTGATGAAAGTGTCCCTCACGGGAGGCTCACGGGTGAGAGGCAGGTGTCACCTTCAGAACCGTGAGCGTCAACAGCCACCTCGGCACCCGGAGTTGAATGTGGCCACATGCGCCTGCTCTTCCAAGCCCTGAAATCAGAGGGCTGCGCCGGGGTCTTTGGTACTGTCAGGCAGGCTGCTGGGGAACTTGGTCACCTGTCCCAAACTGTTCATTTTTTGTGTTTTCTATTCAACACAGGGATTCCCTGGCCTTGATGGAGAAAAAGGAGTCTTTGGACAGAAAGTAAGTCTGTAGCACAAAATGTGGGCTGTCCTGTAAATTCAGGGACCGCCCCACCGGGGCTTTGGGGACACATGCTATTTTCTGAGATGCCACTGGTTATATAGGTGAGGTTTTAGGCCCAGGACAGTCCCTAGTGCCACTTGGACTTTGTCTCAGCTTTGCTGATCGGTCTGTTGGTTCCTCCACAGGACTCACCCGAGGTTCTGTCACTAGATCCCCAGCCCCAAGCCTCCCCCCCGCCGTGGATTGTCACTCGTGGGCTGTCAGCGGGGTGATTGAGATTCCCCCTCTATTTCCTCGCTATCTATCCACACTCTGGTTCTTGCTTATGTTTCATAATAACCTGGTTGCTTCCCCTGTGCTCTGACACAGCTCTGGCTATTTAAAAGAAGAAGAAAATATGTGAGAGAAATTTACGCAGGTCCACACAATACTTCCCGCCAACTAAACAGCAGCTGGATAGAAAGTGTGCATAGAGGCTTCTTTACCTAACTAAGGGTTTATTTGCTCAGTCTTTGTGTGCACAAGTTCAGCCCCGCCTACTGACAGCCCAGCCCCCTCCTGTCACCCCCAGTGGACGGTCCCGGAGTCTGGCTTTAGGTCTGGGCCAGCCTCTGGGGTCATGTGCCCTAGCGTGCTCGTAACTTGTCAACAAAGGGATTACAAGTGCATTTGTGCCCTGCTGTTCCGTGTTTCACTCAGGGTCATCCCACATCATATGCAGCCAAGCATGCTAGGGAGCTGCAGGGTGGCTGAGCACACATGCACCTCATCTGCTGGCCCAGGATTCAGCCACGCCTCCAGTTGGCTTGTAGTCGGCAGCCGAGTGCACACACAGGGTGCCCGTGGCTGGTGCTCCCACCATGCCGTCCTGTCAGGCACACAGAACGCAGCCTCGGAGTGCCAGCGGCCCCTGAACCCAGCTCAGATTGCCACAGCAGGTAGCCTGGAGACTGAACTAGGACAGAGGAGCCGTGTGGCTGTTCTGGGGTAGCAGGTAGTCTCGCCCCCCGGTGTCATGGCTGACCTCCATAGCTCTAAGGCCAAGTTCTGGCATTCACGTATACCGTGGAGACCACGCTCACAGCTATCCTCATCTCTTCTCGTCGCTGACCCTAACTAAACTTGGGCTGGAGGTCTCACACTCTCTAGAGTCAACTTCCTACCACATTAGTTCTTGCTGAGAGCGTTTCCAAAGGTGATACAGCAGACCAAAGTCAAGGCCAGAATGCCACCAGCTTGGAAATGGAAATGAGCAGATACTGTAGAGGGGACTAAAGCAGGTACTTCACCCAAAGCCCCGCCGAGTCAGCCAGTACATTGCTAAGGTGGGCAGGTGACATGCTGTTACTTACTCTTCACTGAACACAAAGGAGCTGTCGTGTCCAAAACTATGGCTCAACACAGCTGCCCCTGGAACTAGAGGTCCGTGAAGACTAGAACACTAGATTAGGGCCCAGCAAGTCCTGTCCCCAGGGTCCCCTGGGTACCCCCCCGGCTGCTGCCACCTAATTACAAGTGTGATAGGGATGCCCACCCAGCTCTCTCTCTCTCTCTCTCTCTCTCTCTCTCTCTCTCTCTCTCTCTC